TATATATATATATATATATATATATATATATATATATATATATATATATATACATCAGTGTTGCCTTTACATCATTTTTAGCATTGCTGTTAGCAGTCTAGTATAATACATAGTCTGTGACAAAACGAATTTGTAGTTCACGGTTCTCCACGAGAGGACTTCATAGTCTCTCTTGTTGACGGTTGACCCATTATTGGTGCAAAAATCAGAAGCGTCAAAACGATAGTTGACGACTCCGAATAATATTGTTGCATGTTATTGTTGTGTAAGGAAAAAAAGACTAAAAAATAAAAAACTGAACAATAGTGCAACTATGTTAAACCAGGCGGTGGTAGAGGCTCTTTACTCGGCAACATATATCGAAAATTACTTGGACTGCGTGGAAAATCTGCCAAACGATCTGCAGAGGCACGTTTCCCGTTTGCGCGAGCTGGACGCCACTTGTCAAAGTAATTTAGATCAAATTATCATCTCGAAATTAACTTAATTTATGGATATAATAATTTATCAGATAATACATATATGAGTTTGAAAATACGTCCTGAGTTTTATATAGTTTGAACTATCTTTATCATTCCTCTAACTTTGTTTTCATCTGCGGACTTCTTTTGTATAAAAAATAAAAATGTCATATTACACTTTAGCTGCGCAAATATTACGGATTTTTTATGAGTATTTCTCAAAATAATTATTATAAATCTTATTTATTGAAGACTAAAGTTTTTAAGTATCTTTTTATATTCTATAGCATATTTACGTGAAGTTGATCAGCATCAGGAAACATTACAAAGCGATACAGATCCTGTGATAAAAAGGAGAGCATTGCTAAGAGTACAGCAAGCTCTGATTGCGGCGCAAGAAATAGGAGACGAAAAATTACAAATTATTCAGCAAGTACAAGATCTTATAGAGAACAAATCTAGGCAGTTAGACTTAGACTATCGGAACTTAGGTATATTATTCTTAATTCTATTAGATTGATGTTTAACAATATAATAACATATGCATTTCCAATAACTAACTTTTACTCCTTTATAGATTTTGGAAAGGAACAAGAGAGCTCTGAAGTTCGTGAATCAAACATGAGCAACAGTTCGAATACTGCAAGCCATGCAAACAACATAGAACGCCACCCAAAACGTGCGAGAAGAACGAGGACTGAAACCTTGATGGAGTCAGCCCATTCCATGGATATAATGGATAGAATGACAGAGACGAGGTCTTCGACAATGTCTAGTATAAGCAATGGAAATCAAAAGAAAACAACAACAGCCACTACTGGTAAGAAAAAGAAACGAAAATCTCGGCAAGGTACTCAACAAAATCAGCATCGCGAGGATACACCGCCGCCACCAGAGGATGATCTCGCAATAGATCCTGACGAGCCAACTTACTGTCTATGCGACCAGATATCATATGGCGAGATGATTCTATGTGACAATGATCTATGTCCTATAGAATGGTTCCACTTTTCATGTGTTTCTCTGACCACTAAGCCTAAAGGTAAATGGTTCTGTCCTAAGTGTCGTGGCGACCGACCCAACATCATGAAACCCAAAGCGCAATTTCTCAAAGAACTAGAAAGATACAATAAGGAGAAGGAGGAGAAATCATAGCAAGAACACAATGAAAAACTTGAGAATTTCGGAAAACGTAATTGGACGTAATCCAGGGTTTTATGACATATAAATTTTAATTTTGAACCATACGTGTGTGTACTAAGATTGTATTCTTCGAAATATTGAGTTGTATTGATTTCTTCTTTTCGTGAAATCATGAGCATCTCTTAAATGTAAAAATATGTTTATAAATATGTTTCTATTGCATTTAAATTGTAAAGGATAAATGAATGTACCTAATATTTATGCTTGTACATATAATGTCATATTAAATGATTCACAAGTTTTATGTTTAAATGTATTTTCTTTATTGATATTTTGATTGTTAAAGACTTATTCAGTAGAACTGGGATAACTTTGGTACTCTTGCACACGCACTTTCGCCAATATTAATGGTATCGCTTCTCCATGCTTAAAAAGCAGACCACATGACGTCGCGTGCAATATTTAATATCGCATATTTGAAAGCGGTGAGAGAGCGTTAGATTTCATGTGCGCAACTGCGTTATTCACACAAGGTGTTGTGATTGAACGCTATGGTGGAGAAACCAGATAACTCTTCTTTTCCAGGAATTCTCCGCTCATATTGCAAAAGTTATCCGGATTTTACTGTAAAAAGAATAAAAATAAGAGTTTATGTAAATAATTACAAAGTCATCGAATAATTGAAAAAAATAAACATTTAATATTTAAAATGCAAT